CACTACACCTATTTATGCACTTTCACACATACTTTATGGATTTAACACTGTTACAAAATTTCACATTAATGTGAGCATTGGATATTTTGCACAGAAGTGGAAAACCCATTTATTGTCTACCAGTATATTTTGTCCATTTCTTTCAAGGTTGAATTTAAATTCTCCATCTTCAATTCTTCTTTATAACTTGGATAGCTAGCTGTATCCATTTTTGTGTGATTGAAAAATTTTCTTGGAAATCTTTTTGTACATCTGTTGTCAACCATGCAGATACAATTGAAATTCAAATAACCACATGGTCCATGAATCATGTGTCATTTTACTATTTCAAAAAGCCCTGGATCTTCATTAAGATTTGGCAGTTCTGAATTGATGATAGAATCTATTTGATTTGGCTTGATCTTCTCCCTTAACCATAAAAGTAAATGTACATGTGACAGTCCCCTCTTTTGCCACACAATTGAATACATGTGACATTTTACAGATCCAAATATTTTTTCTGCTTAATGATGAGATCCATCAGTTTCTTGACTTTCAGCTTAAAAATTCTAGCTGCAATATCATACCTGTCTGTTGCAGATTGTCGAGGAAGAAGATTTTTTTAAAATCTCGGGCTAATTTGGATTTGTAGTAAATGTAACAAACAAATCTGGTTTGCCAAAATGTCTGAAATAAATCAATCCATTGTGAACTCTTTCATGCATGCACCTTGGTCCACCTGTGAATAAAGAAGAGAGAATAACTATGTGTCCTGTATTGACATTCTTTAGATGAATTTTGAATTGCATCCTTTAGATCAGGGGTCGGCAACTCATTCGACCCCGCGGACCGGATCGTGTTATAATGACGGGTTGCAGGCCGGACGAAGGCCATTAATGAAAAATTAAGGAAAATTCCACATGCAGACCCCTGTCAACCTAAATAAAATATTTAAAACCATAATGAAAATAAACATTGAGAAATCAGAAAAACAAAAGAAAATCTAAAATTAAAAAACACCTAACAAAAATTACTTTTCCTCAAGGAACGTCAAAATACTTCAAAGTGAAAAAATTCAACCAAAGTGAAATGGATGAAATTATGACATGTAGGTTTGAAACTGTTATTGAAAATTGTTCCATAAACGAACCACACACACACACACACACACACACATCAAACAAAAACGAAGCACATATACGCATACATACGAGTACAAATAGTTGCAAACATATACACTTACGTACGTACACATGCGGTATCATCCATACATTCATGAGGCATGTATGTATAATGTGCGTATGTTTAACTGTCTTTAGATTTCTGCTACCTTGCATGTCAGTCCCTCCCTGGCCTCTTTCACTTATCGTTCCTTTCGCTTCTGTTATCTTTTAATGTAGCCAATGGTCATAACAAATATGTATCCATTATTTGACATTAAACGTAGGCAACGCAACTTGGTAAAATAAGTCTCATGAAAGATAACTGGCAGGTAGTCTAATATTTTTATTGCACTGAGATGTGTAGAAAACGAAACAAAATCCTGAATTTATTTCTTTTTGAATAAGTAAATATGAAGAGCACTGATTACATTCATTTGAATTTTATTTCGGTATTTAAAACATTTCTAATTTTATTCAGTTTATTTGCAGAGTAATTAAGCTTTACAAAGCATGACATATGGCCTGTGTCTAGCCAGGCCGCATGCAAAAAAATCAGTGAAAGACTCTTGTTTGAGAAGAAGAGGGGTATGATAAGAACATGGCCCATTGAAAGATTCCAGCAACTTACATAGGGTAGGTGGCAGGGGTAAGCGATGCGGGGTCGCTGTTTGAGGAATGAAATAGAAAGCTGACTGAGACAACATTGTCCCTTTGAAGTTGTCACTGGTCGGTCGGTCGAATCGGCTCTCAGTTTTTGTTTTATGGTTAGTTTATGTTTCTAATTTAAGGTAAGAATCCAGCTGTTCACCTCCTAACTATTGCTTAAATGACAGGGCAGACTTATCTCTCTAGTCATGGTTGGAAACTAGTCTAGGAAAAGAACAACTCATAATTCAAAACTGTATGTAACTCTATCAAAGCATATACTATATAGCTATTGAAAAGATTATGGAGTTCACAATTAATTGTGGTGCAGGCTTGTGGACCCTGATCTTGCCTGAGGTTGTTAAAAACAAAAAAGAAATGGTATAATATTTTAACAATATAACATAAGAAATATTGTGTTTATTATTTTTTCTCCTCAATCATTTATCTAAATAAAATCTAATATATCTTAGTGAGAGCAAAACATCATATAACATTTATGTTATCACTACTGAATATGTTCAAAAATTTTTTAAAAAAACACTCTAACTGCAATGAATTGCAAAATTTAAAAAAAAACACTCTAACTGCAATGAATTGAAGACAGCAATAGGTCACAACAAATTGGCTTAATCTAGAGCTATTTTCTTTATTTCCCTATCTCTCAAGCCATTTTTTGGTAAAAATACTGTGTATTTTTTATTGTTGTTATCTTTTAAATAACTGGATTGAAAGAGCATCACTTTTGCTAGAGGTTTTCACCAAGGTGACTTCCATGAAAATTTTTTTTTTTTTTTTTTTGCCTGGATAGATTCTGCCAAACTCTGTGATTATAAATCTCATTTCTCAAGAAGTCACCATATATTCAAGTTACGTTCCAATCAATAAGTTGTAACTAAGCAGTTTCCTGCTTGATGCTGTTCCGCTAACAGCCAATTATTTCAGTCTGATCTCCAATAATATAAATAAATCTGTTAACATTATCATCATTTTTTTATTGACTGCTTTTCAAATCATGCAAATTATCTTTGTTATTACTCATTATAATTGTATTAAATGAATATGTAATTTAACAGTTGGATGCCCTTTCTGACACCTATAATTTTACATTACTACAAACCTAACATTACATATTAAAGTGTACAACTTGAGTACAGCAGTGTGCATTAGTGGATATGTCATAGCTTACAGTGGATAGTACATTCATTGTTGCAGCTATTGCCAGGGTAAATAATTAAATTTTTATTAACATTATTAAACATTTAATGTATTAAAACATGTGTCTTTATCTTAGTTGTCATAGTCAAGCTTTGGCTATTCTATCCTTTGGCATTCTTCAAGTTTGTCGTATTCAATAACCTTCTCAGAATTTTAACTCAAACTCTTTCCAATGAGACTTTTCAACTACTTTCATCAATGATTTATGTGCCTTACATCAGAAGCCTGTTAAAAAACATTTAGAGGATTTGCAGTCCATTTAAAATTCAACAGTATTTAATAAGCAATTCTACACTTCAGAGATGTCTCTGTACAGCATTCCATGCAGGTGTGGCAAGGAGTATAAAAGCAAGACTGGCTGCCCTGTAAAAGTAAGGCTAAATGTCATTGCTACAATGACTAGAGAATATACATTTACAAAGGAACTTGCTTGAATTTTATTTCACTAGAATTTTTTTTGTGACACACAATAGCATGTTGAAATCCTCACAGTATTTAGTAGTATTGAAGTTATCACTGACATTTTTTGTCGAGATTTACAAACTATATTTTGTTCAAATATATAAAACTTAAAAATTTATTAAATAAGTATTTGTTATTTTAATCATTAAATTGATTTTAAAATAGTGGGAGTATTTTGTATGTTAAATAATAAAACTTTTAATTTTTTCAAAAAATTAATGAAAATTTATTGTACTAAGCTACACACCCTAGTAAAACCAACTGTATTCTGTATCCCCTTACCTGTTTGTACTTCTCCCCAAAATCTGGTTTCGATTGGTCAATGTATGGCTGTTTTAGAATGTGTGATGGATGGATAGATAGACTAACAAAAGTCACAGAATTTTATATATAAATAAATAACAAAGAACTGGTATGATAACTTTGAACTAATTTTTATCATCTATTTAAGTATCACAAACTGTTTTTAGTGACTCATTATAAAGTGCTGAATAATTGAAGCTATAATAAATGCAATTATGCAGCATAACATGACATCATTTTATTAACTTTAAATTCGTTGTTGGTTTTTTTCTTCATTAAGTTTGTTAGATATATTCTGGCTTCATATATCTATTTAGTTGTTATATAAATCGAAGAAAACCTGAAAAACTTTACTACAAAATGAACACATTTCAATAAATTTGTAGTTTAACATTCCTTACTCTCTCTCTCTCTCTCTCTTTTTTTTTTTTTTTTTAGAAATGTGTTTGAATTTTACATATTAAAAACTTTGTCTTTTAAACATTTTTAAGATGTAAAGGATGACACTGTGTCATCCTTTACATCTTAAAAATGTTTAAAAGACAAAAATATGTTTTTAGATAATCTGTGGGAAATTTTTTTGTCAAGAGTAGATACAACTAATCAACTTGTATAGCAGATTCTTATTATCACGAAATAAACCAATTTATCAATTTTAAGATAGGGATTTATCTTAGTTGATTGAATTTATTTAAATTTCAATTGAAAATCATCTATTAGACAAATATAATCTTGAGGATCTAATTCCCTTTGTTTTTAACTTTGATCAGTTTAGCTTTTCTAAACACAACAATCTCTCAGCAAAAGAATATCTAATAACTTAGCAGAAAATCAAACTCAAATCTTATAAACTTATTTATTTAACTTATGAAATATTTAACTTCAATGTGGATTCATACATTTATGTCAATTTTGAGGGGAAGAATTATCATACAGATTATTTATATTAAAACTGTCAAAAGGAAATGACTGATTGTTACTTTAACTTTTATCTCACTCAATAACAAATTTTCTTTGTGCTCAGAGTTCTGAAATCATTTTATCTGCAGAAATATTTTTCTACAAAAAACACTATTAAAAGAATGAATAGACATTTAAGGATAACAGAGATAAACAATAGGATTTGTTCACATTTTGTAACTCTATTCCATAGTAAACAATTAAGATAAATTACATTAAGTTGTTAACAGATAACTATATTTTTCAATGTCTTTCTATTATTTTGAGTAGGTATGTTGCATGGAACTATCATGAGCCACTTCCTGGTATGTTCAGATTTAGTGGTGACCAAGATTTGATTGGATTCATCAAAACAGCACAGGAGGTTGGTTTGTTGGTCATTCTGAGGCCAGGTCCTTACATTGATGCAGAATGGGAGTTTGTAAGTTATTGTTGTTTTCTTTCTTCTTTTTACATGCAATCTATCCACTAAAAATGGCTTTCATAGTTATTTCTCCAATTTAATTTAATGTTCAGTCAGAGGAAACATTGTTTTTTAAGTGTTGTTAGTCTGTCCATCCATCTGTCACACCCTCTAAAACAGCCATATATTGACCAATCAAAACCAGATTTTACCTGAGTTGAAACAGCTATAATGGAAAAAAAACATGACTTTTGTTCAGAAAATGAGAGAAATATATTCAGATATTACAATTTTTGTGATAGCATACGCATACCAAATTCTTCATGTTATTCATTCCCTTACCTTTAGCTCTCTACTTCTTTCTCCTAATATATTTATACATCATATCTATCTAATATATATATATATATATATATATATATATATATATATATATTTTAACAATAAAAAAATATTAAAAATTAAAATCTTCAGACACACTGGGTTGTAGATTAATATTCTTTCGTTTTTTTTTATTATTATTTCATTTAGATTCCTCGACTAGTTTCGCCAAAATGGCCATCATCAGGAGAAAAATATTTGTGCTTGCTGGTAGCAGTAAACTACAGAAATGAATGTCTTGATGGAGAAAATGAACTTTTTGTCTGTAGTTTTCATTTGTTTTTTTATTTTTTTTTCTTTTTAACATGAATCTTTTAACATTCCTTGTGTTGGTCAAACAGTCTCTTTTAAGTTGTTATTTGAGATAAGAGCTGGATGGATCTATGCTTTTCTGAATTCCCCTGGCCAGTTTGACAGTTTTATTGGTCCTGGAGAGGGGATGTGTCTCTGTTAAGTGTTTGTGTTATTTGGTTCTTAGGGAGTGAGTGAGTATGATATGTGTAAGCGTGTGTATTGCTGTGAGTGTGTGTTATCATTTGGCTCATTAAGGAGTGAGTGAGTATGATGTGTGTATATTCGTGTGGGTGTGTGTGTGTAAGTGTGAGGCCTCAACACCTCCGTAAGCATGTCTGTCTTATGTGGGTGAGAAATGTGGTTAGGTTTTGATTTGTAGAGTTATATATTAGTACTATCTATATTGTTATATTTATGGTTTAGCCCGGCTGGATAGTGTGTTTTTAGACATTGTATCCACTTATTTTCATGAAACTCTAAAATCTTTCTAATGTTATCTGCTCTGAACTTTTCTATTCTCTCAATTATAGTGAATTTGGCATGGGGTTTGAAATTGTGTTTTTCCAGGTGGAAATGTTGTTCTACAGGTAATCATTTTTCATGGGGATTCGACTTAATTCGATTGCGATAATTAATAATTCTGTAGTGAAAGGGCCATTCAGATTTTCCTACATATTGTTTCTGGCATAGTGTGCATTCTAGGAGGCAAATTATATTATGACTTCTACAGTTAGAATTGTGGTAGATTTTGAAAGTAGATTTAGTGATTGAGCTAGTGAATGAATTCGTGTGTTTAATATGGTTGCAGCATAAACTTCTTTTGTTGTTACATGGTTGGGAAAATCCTGTTGTTTTTGTTCTTAGTTTATTACAGATTACCTTGTCCCCTGAAATGTGGTTACTACCTATGATTTCTTTTAGATTCTTAGGTCTATGATATGCTAGAAGGCCGGGTTCCTTAAACAATTTTTTTAGGTCTGGTTTGAGATGTATTATTTCTCAGCAACATTTGATTATTTGCGATAGTGGAAGCAGAGTGGGGTTGAAAGTGGTTACTAGAGGGATGCGGCTAGATTTATTTTTAATCTTGTACATTAGGGTGTCTTCTCTAGGTGTGGAAATTGCTTTATTTATTTGTTCCTGATTAGGTGTTATTTATAGCCATGTGTTGTGAATTGATGCTCAGATTTTCAATGTGTTTATTTAATTCTTCATTCTTTATATATATATATATATATATATATATATATATATATATATATATTATATATTTATATTTTATTTAAAAAACAACATGTAAAATCACTAGACAATTGCAGTCATGTTTTGACGCATAACAATGTGTGTCCTCAGGTGATTGTAAATTACTGATGAGTGAACAATTAATTTGGTTTCAAAAGCCAAATATATCCTCTTCCCCCACCTCAAAAAAAGAAAAGGTTATAATGCTTGATGGCTTTACCCTGATCAACCAATTAAATATGATCTACGTTCAATTCAAACTAAGCAAAAAAGAAAAAAATAAGATTCTTAGAAATGGGGCATGACTAGGAGTTATCTGCCAACAACAGCCAGACATGAAATTAAAGATTGATACAGATTGTTATGTAAGTGTATACATGTCAGATGGTCAACTTTTTCAAGAAATAAAAGCAGAAGAGTAGAGAGGTAATTTAACATAATGTAAACTTTTTATATACTTTATAAATTCCCTACATAAAATTCTTTTGTAGATGATAAATAAGAGGCCTCTTTAAAAAACTAGTAAATAATTAAAATGTATTGAATTATTTGGTAAATTAATATGCAGCCATTAAATAAAGATCATCCATATAAGATGTTAATAATACAAACCAATCAATGTAAAATCTCAAAAATACTAACTACCAATACATCATATAAGATGTTAATAATACTAACAGGAGATTAATACAGAATTATATTAAATCCAAATTAATCTTGCAAATAGGAAACATAAGCTATATATAGTCCAATGTAGTTCAACCAAAATATAAGAAAAACTATTATCAAATTCCAAAGTTTAACTAAATTGTAAGATAAAAGGTAGACTATGTCTACAATTTACCATTAATTTGCTCCTTTGATTTGATAAGTGTTTTTTTATCACAAAATCTGATAATTTTAAAATTTTATGTAAACACAGAAAATATGGTTCATATGAAGATCTACATGTTCTTGCCATTTTTAAATTTTTCCATTTACCTTAGGAGTTTTATTATCATCTTTTAAACTCCAAAAATATTTAGAAAGTGATGCATTATTTCTATAGGTATTACTGATGAACAACAAGCTATGTGATACCACCTAGTCTTAAAAGAATTCTTAGTACTACCAATATAGAATTTTTCAGCCATCGGATTTTCTATTGTAGAGATAGTATTTAGATAAACAAGAGATTTAGTTAAACATTTCTTTGGCAATGGGCATTGGTTAGGATTCCTACAATTACATTGTCTAGTATCATTAATTAAGATCCAGATTATTAAATTGATTTAAAATTTTATTATTATGTAGCTTTATAATCTCAAGATTATTGGTGCAGCTATAACTTAGTTTTAATGTGTTTCTGTTAAATATTTTACTAAGATGGTTAATTTCAGGGAAAAGTTTATCAATTAAATGGAGAAACTTCTGGCCCAACTTAGTACTGACCAATTGGTTAAATGAGGGCATATACCAAATGATCTTTCTATTTTTATTGATTTTCTTTAGACCACTGTCATCATATTTTTTATACTTGATTTCAGCATATTTGTAATGACTATTCTTTAAAACACTTCTATATTTATCAAACGCATCTTTGTCAGATGAGTGGTTGCTAATCCTACGTTCTATAGATGAAGGAATATGTTTGATTATATATGGAGGGTGGTTAGAATTAGGGTGAATATAAATTGGGTTAGCTTTATTTTTCATATAAGGTTGGGATACATCATTAACAAGATCTAATGTAACATCAAGAAAATCTACTCGTCTAACATTAGTAGTTATCTTAACCATAAGATTTAAATTTTTTAATTCTTTATGAATCATTTTTCTTAATTTATCAACCTTAATTTTAGTGGAATTTTTTACCTCTATAAGACCATCATTTTTTTTTTTTGAAAAAAGAGGATGTATTTGTCTTTTGAAACCAAATCAATCATTCACTTGCTAGTAATTTACAATTGCATTGGTATGCATCAAAACATGACTACAATTGTGTAGCGAATTATACATGTTTCAATATTCTAAAACAAATAATATTGCTCTACTCTGTATTGAGCCCTCTTTTAAATTAAATATATGAACGTTAGAATTGTACTCTATTCATTCTCATCTTACCTGGATAATATATATATTGTGGGGAAAATTGTGAAAATGGCTTACCTCGGAAACGCGAATCTGTGCGGTGTGCAAACTCCGGTTCTCCCAACGGTAAAAGGAACCAAAATGGCGGCGCCATATTTTATGCTGGGCAGTCTCGGTTAGTTAACGCGAAATCTTGTTGTCTCGTCATTCGCATGCAAATCGTGGTCGGTCCTTGGCTGTATAAAGCAGGCACGTTTTGCTGTTTCAGATCAGAGAGCTTTCGGCTTGTGAGAAGGTTGGATATGCGACACCGGGGGTTTCTGGTCACCCCCTCCTCACGCTTTCTTTGTTCCTACCTGCTATCATCGGTTGAGTTGTTGCGTTACCTCCCATATATATATATATATATATATATATATATATATATATATATATGATTGTAAACTTATTGTACAGATTAATAAAAACATCTCTCATATAAAAAAGTATTGTTTGTTCAACTCTAGATTTCATCAATTAATATTAGTAAGCGTGTATGTGTGTGTTTGACTTTGGGGTTCAAACATAGCTGCTTCTTCTAACAAGGATGTGAGAAACTCTTTCTGGTTTCCCTCTTGGATAGAGTGCTTATATATCTTATATATCTAGTTGTCCTATGTGTGGACATCCTAAGCACAACTGGGTTGACTTCATGTTTACACATTAGAGAAGGCAGTTACTGACTTTCTGTAAGAGACAAATCTGTATCTGATGGCTAGGAGGTCACATTCTGGATCAACCTACTGATGTACCTGGCTTCTCTGGCACTTTGATGTAACACTGAGTGAAAAGGCTATTTTGGTATCATCTGGGGTGAGCCCAATACATATTGAGGTTATCACAGATCAACCTCTCTTAGAACAAAGATTCCTTATTGACATTAAATTTAATTTAGACCATCTTGTATTTCCTAGTGTGAATCATATATTACATGATAATCATAACCTATATTATTAACTTACATTTTTTTATCAGTTTTATCATGTGATAGATTATTAAGCACCATCAGATATCATCTTTAGTCCTTGACAGCAAAAATCATCCAGTATATAATGTTATCACTTGCATGTAGGAAAATTCTATAAATATAGAAAATAAAGTAAAATAGATAAATGAAACAAAAAGAAAAACAAATTGTGTGCTGTTTTCATAATGCAAGACATAATCACCTTTTCTTAAAATGAATTCTTATGGATGCCCTTGTAAACCTTCTTTTAAATTCTTGTAAATGAATACTAAAATGAAATGTATAAAGAAGTCTCTTATTAAAATTTTATAAATAAATCTGGCAGGCAGTATTACTTGCTTTTTCTTAATTTCAGCTAAAATGTTTTTATCTATTTAAATTTCTTTCTATCAAAATATTCATTGATATTTGTACTTTTTTGATTTTTTGTTTTGTTTTGTCACTTTAAATAATCCTCTCAGTTGTCAAGTCTTTCCTGTCAAGTAGGTCGTAGTTAATGGCCAGTCCTCTGAGGCCCATGAGATCAATGTTGGAATCCCATAAGGCTCTCTCCTTGGTCCTACTTTCTGCTTTACATCAATGATCTGTCTAAGAACATTCACAGAACCTTAGTAAATAAATATGCAGATGACACTACACTGTTTGGTGCACCTCCAAATATCTTGACTAGAGCCTCTGACCTAACTCTTACAGCTCAATAGGGAAAAGACTATCATTCAATCTATCCAAAACTAAACTTGTAACATTTCACCACCATCAAGCAGACTCTAAGCCTGTGCACCAATCATGCCCTCAAAGAGGATCCTTGCCTAAAATGTCTACTGGCAGCTTAAGCTCACTCCTGACCTCAAATGGAACACATATATATTTTTTTCATCATAAAAGATACTGGAAGAATTGTCAGTTCATGGTATCATTTCAGAAAATACCTAACTCCTGCTACCATCTTTATAAGAGTCAGATCAGACAAAGAATGGAGTATTGTTGCTATATCTGAGTTGCTGTTGGCTGCCTAATCCTTATTGTCTAGCCTTGACAGGGTCCAAAAGCACTTATGCAGCCTTGTGGGTAATTAATTATTCTCCACTCTACAACCTTTATCCCATAGTAAAAACATTGTCAGCCTTTTGCTACTCTATTGCTATCACTATGGCAGATTTTCAGACAAGTTACATTCCATAGTGCCACTAGCTCAGACCTTCACATCTAGGACCCACCATGCTGTGTTCACGGTGGCAAACCATCCCCATTCCTTTCATGTTCCTTTGATAAAAAGCTAGTTCCACTCAGACAGATTCTTCACCAGAACTGTTACTTTGTGGAACAAACTCCTGAGAAAATGCTTCCCTACAGCGATGGATAAATTGTCATCTAAATTATGCAAAAATGAAAATAACTGATAAATTTATTCAATAAAACTGCCATTGGCTTCAACCACAGCCTCCAGACGACTTCAGAATATACCATAACTCTTCTGGATGGTCTCTTTGTTTAAGTTGGTGAATGTTGGTGTTACAAGGAGTTTTGTTGGTCTCTTACTCAACTATACCCCATATATAATAATCAAGGGTGTTGCAATCTGGGGAGTTAGGTAACCAGATGTAAGGGGTGATGTGGTTGCAGAAATTGTCTGACAGCCATGACTGGGTTCTCCTGCTTATGTGGCATGATGCAGAGCCCTTTTGCCAGACATAGGGTCTTCCAGCAGCCACTTTTTTGGCCCAGGGCAGCACTACCTCCTCAAGGCACTTGCTGTAGGCTTCTATGTTGAGTTTGAGAGTTTTTTTCTTATCCAAATGATCAGTGTGTGTTTTCCAAGCTGCTGTACCTTCATAATCACCATTAGATTCATCCAACTCTTTCCAAATTTTCTGCACTGTCCTCAGATTGACCCCCAAATACTCTGAAATGTTCACATTGAAGCTTCCAGCATGAATGCCAAGCAGTACAGCATGCTGTTTCCAAATTTCTGGCAGAGTGAGTTACGATTGCGTCATGGTGCTTTTTTTCTTATAGACTGTGCTCAACTGACCCTACTATACTCTGCTGCCAACAAAATAAAAAACAAACAATGTGAAACTAACAATATAAAATGGTGACAATTTACCCACTGAACCCTATACAATCTAGGTCTCTTCAAATCCAGGTTCATCTAATATCTATCTTACTCATCCTCATAAGACTTTTACTCCCTCCTAAGTTTTACCTTATAATATCACTCAGTAACCCTCGACTTTGACTAGCCCTAGAGCCATGTATTGCATGAAATATCAGTAAAAAACACAAAAAAAAATTCTGTTTAAATTTGAAATTTTTAAGTTCATTATATTTTTTTTTTCTATCATTGATTCTAAGGGTGGTTTTCCTGGATGGCTGTTAAATAGTACAAAGAAAATGCGATTGCGATCTATGGATCCAGGTATATTTATTTCTTATTCTCTCCTTATTATGAATTATCAATATATATATATATATTAACATACCAAAACAACTATTCTAACAATTTTTATCAGTTTTGAAAACAAATCTCAGTATTATATTAATAGATTTCTAAGAGAAGACAAAAAATAATCTTCTTCAAAATAAAAACATTTTAATTATTATTATCCTCATTTAACCAATATTTCAAGAATGAACTTTGTGCAAAATCAAAATGATATATATATATATATATATATATATAATTGCTTTATATAGATGTTAAAATATCATAAAATCATTAAGAATTAGAGAAGAAGCACTTTAAGTTTTGTGTACATTTGACAGTGTTTTAGTGATTGTATACAAATCTGAAGATATTTTCACTTGAATTTAAATTGGCTCATAAACAGAAATAATAAAATCATCAAAATATCCTCAGAATTAAATGCAATGCCTCAAAAATATATTCGCATGTTTGTGTATATTAATCCTCAAGTATTTGACAGTAAGAATGGCTTTACTGAAAAAAACTCATATAAAATTCTTTTTTGACCTATTTTAAATGTGTTTACAAAATTCTGGGTTTGATGCATTGGCTTGGAACAAAAGTTTGTAACATTTTTCAATAGGTGATATGTGACTGAAATTTATGACATATATACATGTTCTGAAAGGTAGCATTTCAATGCATTTTCTATAATATTCATATGAGGGATAGTGAATTTTAAATGTTTTTATATTAAAAGTGATAATAGAGGGAAATCACATTGATTTTCATTATTTGATACTCTTTTGTTTCCAGAAAGGAAAAACCACTATACAAACAACAAAAAAGATACATGCTGGTGCCATATTTGAATGTACTGTTTGTAGGTGGTTTACTATGTTCAGAAATATAAATTTTGATCTAGAAAACTGAGTATTTTCCAGTATGCCTGCAGAAATTGATAATAACCAAACTGAATTGCCGATTAAAAGTAATCCAGGTCATATGACATGGGAAATACTCCACATATCTCTTATGAACATTATAAAGCATTTGAAAATGGATATGTGAATTGTTTGGGTGCCTTATGATTAAATGGAGAAAAGTTTAATAGACCACATTTCCATTTGCTCAAATGCAACAAAAATTATCTATTTTTGAAATGAACAATCACAGGCAGTGAAAAATGGTTTGTCAACAATGTGAAGTCCTATGGAAAATGAAAAAAACAGTCTGCATCTGAAAAAGTGATGTTATATATCTAGTGGGATTGAAAGGACATTGAGTATTACAAGCTCTTTCTGCAAAATCAGACGTTGAATTCAGACAAATACTGTTCCCACTTGGACTGATTAAAAGAAGTAATCAATGAAAATCATTTGCAATTGGCCAATTGAATGGGTGTTATTTTCCATTGGGACAACACATAACTCATGTCTCTTTGCAGAATCCAGCAGAAACTGGTACAACTTGGCTGGGATATTCTACTCTACTTGATCTATGCACATGACCATTGGATAATTACTTATTTTAATCCCTATAAAAAATTCACTTAATAGGGAGAACTTTGATTATTTAAATTTTTTTGAGCCTGTAAAACCCCCTTAGACCAGCTTCTCACACAAAAAGATGTGAATTTTTAGAAAAAAATCATGAAGCTGCTTCAAAAATAGTGAAAGGTAGTGGAACAAAAGGTTTCATATGTGGTTAAATAAATCTATGTTCAACTATCTGAATATTGTCTTTAAAATTTACTTTAAAATGCTCTAAACTTGTGTTCCAACCTAATATTTGAAACATTTTATAATGCAATATTAATTGGTTTTAATCTTGAAGATTAGAATAGAGAATAGAAGGAAGAATGGATTATGAAGAACAAATTAACAGATGATGAAAAATAATTTATATCTTTAGAAGACTTATTGTAATGAAGGAAGAAAAATTTGAAAAAAGAGTGTAAAAATAAAGACACAGAATAACAAATAAATGAGGTACATATAATATGTAAATATATGGCTGTCTAATGAAATATAAACTTGCAGAAGGTGTGTTATTATGGGAAATTATTCCACTTTTGTTTTTTGTCTGTCAGCAAATGCATTGTGAAGTGGTATTGAGAATATTGATATTTAGAAAGTGGTTCAGGCCAAGAAATTTTCAACAGCACCCCTTTTATAAACTTGAATTCATATGTATGAAAAGATTAGATGATTTTTAAAAATGCTAAACTTTTTGGTATGCAGGAAATTCTTTAAATTTAATTTTTGTTCTATTAAGTTATCCTATAAGTAATATTAAACATCCAATAGCTGTAGCTTGAATGATATTTTTGCAATTTTATTTACCTAAAATACCTGCCAGTCTGTGTTAATATATTGTCATGGTACAAGTCAACTAAATTATTAACTTGATCCTCCTAAAAGAGGAATTCTTATGGAAAATGACATGACATGTTACATTCTGTTATTTAAAGAAGGCAAAAGCAACTCAAAATATGGTTTTTATGGGATCAATTTTTTAGTGAGCAAAATTGTTGATATTGGATTTATAGGTTTAGCAAAAGTTACTTGATATGTGATAAAAAGGTAGTTCTGTCAATTTTAATAATGACCTACTTTTACTTAAAATTCATAGAAATTGTATTGTTACAGTTCAATAATTAACTCAAGAACAGAATTCAAGTCATTCAACACTACACTGCCATCTCCACCAACTTGGAAAGGTACCTAGAACAGTAAAATAGGTTACCATACTTTGAGAGAAGTAAATTCTAAAGCATGCATTCTTATGTAACTGAAGAGATATATTTGTTAGTATCCATCATTTGCAAAGATGAAAGAAAACAAATATCCTTGAATAAAAGCTTAAAACAATGAATACAATAACTTGTCTATAAAATTGTCCAACACTGATTTATATATTTCACTTAAAAAGTCATATAACTATAGATATTTATTCTTATAAAAAGAGAATTTTTCTTAATGTCTTAAATAATATTATTGTAATGAAGTTAAACTCTAATAATCTATTCCAATTTTTCCCTTTCTTTTTAAAGAGTATATTCAGCATGTTGACAAGTGGTTTGATATATTGCTTCCTATGTTGAAACCTTTGCTTTATGAAAATGGAGGCCCTATCCTCATGCTACAGGTAGGCATTGGCAAATGATTTAACTCATAATTACTCTAAAATAGATACTTGATAAAATGAAGAAAACAATTTTTTCAAAGTTAAATCATCAGAGATATTTGACAAGCAAACTTGAATCAATTTTGGTAATATAATCATACTTTATGTACAAAATATTTATTCATAACATAAAAATATTATAACCACATTTGTTCGTGATGACCACTAGTTATATTTTATATTTGAGGTTATGTTATCTTTTTTATAAATGCACTTTATTTCTCTATATTTTCATAAACATATTTACATAAGTATAGACAAATAAATATAGAAAAATCAAAAAAGAAAAATTTCAGTTTCCACCCATTTGGTTGTTGCCCGGGATTCCTTGAACACTAAGTATATCTTAGCAGGGTTACATGCACTTCTCTTTTTTGATATAAATAAATGTCATGTTAAGTGGTGGTAGGTCAACTGAATGATTAGTTGCTGATACACCATAATCACAGCTTCTGATTGATGGCAAATGTTAGAACAGTAATGAATTCTTTTCTATGGAAGGAATCCAATAAAACTTCTAACCTTCTAGGGACTGCAGATCTCTCCCTCAGAGAACACTTCCCAGTAGATGATGAGGAGTAGGGTCAGGAATATATCTGCAGCAAAGATTGAGAGACTCGATTATTTTCTGGAAACTTTCCACATGAAAAAAAAAAGCCTTATATCATTTTGTATTTATTGCTATGTCAAATAACATGAATTCATTTTGTGCTGTAATGATCCTTATGTAAACTAACAGATGAATAAAATTTGAATTAAAATAGCCATAATCAAATATTATTATTGGTCAGACTTAACATATTAAACTACATATCACATTATTAGCCACTTTTCATTTTTCTTAGTGTTTAGAAAACAAAAGAAGGGATTCATAGAAGAATTTGTACTATGAATATTCAATATATTTCATTATAATATATATAAATTATAGTATATTATAAAGGCAGATTTATTTTGTATAAATTCTCTCTTAATATGGGACAAAAATCAGTGTGATAATTTCCTCAACTTTCCCTTAATAAACTTGCATTGGATTTGTCCAGTGTCTTCAATGAATTTCTTCACAAGTTGGTGATATTGTTTTAAGTTTCCAGCATTTTTAACTTTGCAAGTCTGAAGTTATGTATCACTTTATCTATTAAATTTACTGAACAACCTATTTTAAAACTTTAAAATCACAATGTAGTTATGAATTTGAGACATCAAAATTCATTTCATCCAAATAGTTACTGTTTGTTATATATGCAGAGATACATCTTGCCATTATTTAGCAAATAAACCTTTAGATTTGAATAAATACTTATTTTATTTATCAATAAAATATGAAGTTGTTAATTATATGAAATGCAGTCTATTGTACTTTACAGGAATGCTGCAAAAAAAATCTATGCACAATTTTTTTCTCTAGGTAGAGAATGAATATGGTAGCTACTTTGAGTGTGACCATGCTTATATAAGACATTTGGAGCACAAGTTCCGTGATCATCTGGGCCCAAATGTTATCCTTTTTAGTACTGATGGTGATGGAGACAGTTATATGAAATGTGGATCTCTTCAAGGATTATATGCAACCTGTGATTTTGGTATAACAAGTAAGCTAATTAAATTTTTTTAATTTATTTTGTGATATAATGGAAACCAATATTTCTTTTCACTTTTGTCCTTGTTCTTGTATTTCTAAAAACATAATTATTTCATTTCTGAGATGATTAATTATTAATATTCTTGTATTATTTCAAACTGTTATCCTCATTTTGGTTGTTATAGATGTTATACACAGTGTTTCAAACAAGTAGCTATCAGTTGTCCATTGTTTGGTAGATATGGCATATTTTGTCCTTGTGATGTCAGTTATTGTTCATTCTTGCTTAATTTTTGCTTCAATACCTGATCCAAGCATTGAACTGATGGCCTCTAGATGATGATCAGAGGGTACTTTAGCAAAACATTTTGTCTATAATAACATCTACGTCAACCAAAATAAGAAGAATAGCTAAAAAATACAAAGTATTCTAAATACATATTAATTAATAGTCTTCTCTCATTCTCAACCATGCATTTTTGCCAGTTTGTTGTTTTGTCTGCAAAATTATCTATTAGGGCTTTCAAAGATTTACTAGTATGTATAAAACAAGAGAAACACATTTAAATTTGTCATACAAGAAATATATATAATGTATTTTAAAACAATTATGCAGAATCTTTTCAAGTGCTGTAAAAAGAAAGTAAATCACAACCTAGATGGATTTGAACACCTGCCTCCAAATTTGAATGAACAGTATTTCTCAGAATTACCTGCTACCTTAGGAAAACAAACCTCATATAATGTATATGCATGTTCCTTCTAAAGTTTTTCCTTCTTTTCACTTCCAGTAGCACCTTGTATCTTAGTGGTGCTATAGCCTTGCTTGAGGTGAATTGATTAAAAAAAGAAAAAAAACTTAATAGTTCCTATTCTTATATCTACATATTAAAATGATTACTGAGACACTTCAGCATGACATAACAGATTTATATATAGGAGAATATGATATATAAACTCTATGGTAGGTAACTGAATGATAAAATGGAAAAAGTTCATATGTTATACATTTCAACCTTGAAAGAACTTCTTCAGACTAAATAATGTTTTTACTGATACAATCATGTAGCAGGATGTATGGAAATATTGGTTATGATCAAGAGAACTGCTGAAAAGGCAGGAATACTTAATTCTAAATATTTAAAATTTTGGCATTTGATGTATATTGAGATGTTTAATGTAGCTAACATTCAGTTGCCTACTGCTTTTGTTTTTGTGGTTTTTAAATATTCCACATTGTAATAGCAGTAGTTAAGAAAGTTGACATGCTGTATGATTCTGGGCTATAAATTTACTATGGAAGACTCAGAAATTAGCACACTTTCTATACATTTTCACCTTAATAAATTACCTTCATTAAGTCATATTATGGTCAGACTTATTACAACAAATGACTAATCCATTGAGTGTTGTTTCATAAAAGGTTCCTTTGTATTTATACATTCTTTTATTTAAATTCCCCTATGTATTTATGAAAAAAATAATTTATTCTGAAGTGTTTTTAAAGGAGGAAACACATAACAGGATTTTTCCATATATATATATATATAGCCTTACTTTCCCTGACGATCCGTTTAGGTGAAACCTAGGTAGGTTTGTCTGGCTCACTAGGTATATATATATATATATATATATATATATATAATATAGCATTGTTTACTGACTTTGAAATTTAATAGAAAAAGTGTTCTGAAAAATTAAGTAAATACAGAAAGGGAAGTTTATGGTGTATTTTAAATATTTAAATTGATGAAAAATGCCAATGATTCTGTCTTTTGTTGTTCTAAGTAACTTTAGTTTTTAACCATCCTTCTTTGTCCTTGTTTTGTCATACATTGTGATGATATGAAATGTGGTATTAAATCCCCAAAAATGATTGATGAAAAGCTTTTCATTAGAAATAATTAAGATGGATGCTAGTATGGGAAAAGTGAATTGGCCTGAATTATGCATTATGGATATAATAAAAGATAAGATGGTATCCTTGCAATTGACCTAAAGAAACATGCTCTTAAACTGACTCCTGTTTTCTTTAAACTCTACAACAGATGTCTTGCTGCTTTTTGTTTTCCAGTCTGTTGGAAATACTCTTCTGTAGTTCCTGATTTTAAGAACTGTAGTGAAGCTTCTAATCCCTCAAATAATTGTTCTGTTAGTCTTCTATCTCTTTTTGGCAAAGTACTAGCAGTTCTTGTGAACTCTGTCTTGGTTAAACATCTCACTTTACATGACCTTCTTTCAGACAAATAATATGTCTTTCTAAGTCAACCACTGATCTGTTAATGGTTATTGCTGAAAGAGTCTATCAAGCTTTAGATAAGAAGTACAGGCTGTGTCTTTAGATATCATAAAGGCATTTCACAGGGTTTGGCATGCTGGTTTTCTTCACAAGCTCAAGGGCTATAGTGTATCTGGCTGAATCTTTGATTAGATCCAGTCTTAACAAATCATGTAATGAAAATCATGTTGAACAGCGACTCTTTTAGTTACTTTTACATTAATACAGGCATCCCCCAGGGCTATTGGACCCAATTTGTTTCTTATCTTTATCAACAACCTTCCCGATGTCCTCCGTTTCCAAATCAATATTAATGATGACTCTTGTCTTAATAGTAAGGTCCAATAAAGTAAAACTGGCAACTGATCTCAAAAATGACTTTCAATCAGTTGTTATTTGGGGCAAGAAATGACTTGTAAATTTTAATACTTCCAAATTGTATCTTTTAATCATCTTAGAAAACCATTTTGCCTTTCATAAAGACATTATGACCATTGTAGGACCAAATGTGTCATTCTAATTTAGCTACTTGAAAGGAAAATTACAGGGTGCATAAGGTATTTGAGTACACAGTGAAGACTCTAAGAAAAACAACCACATCTTACAAACAACTAAATTTATTGATACAAAACTTGGTACACAGATGCATTAATGGTTGGACTGCAGATTTATTTGATTTTATTGCCTTCAGCCAAAATAATAGCTTCAATTCAGGACCTGAATCATTAACAAGCATGCATCACATGGTCTGTATTGATGTTGAACATTACTTGGGTAATTGCAGATTTCAGGGAATCAGTCATATTGTGGAAATATTACTCTCATTCAACAATTTCCCACATGTAATCATCAGGTGGATTTAGGTATTGCAAGTTAGGTGGCCACATGTGTGATGTGGTTGTGCAAATTGGTCACCATCCAATCTTGTGTCACCTTTGTGTCCAGGTGCAGAGTCCTGTTGAAATACATATGACCTTCCATTGCACACAAGGTCTATCCAGGATTTTGCAACTGTTTTCAGCATCACAACCTTGTTGAAAGAAGTGAGGTGGTATGGCATTACATAGCTCTATTAAATACATGTGTGTTATGATTGCTTTTATGTTCATATTATGTGAAGTTTGTATTTTTTTTTGCATATAAGCACTTAAAATATTGGAAGCTATCAACAAATCATATTCAACAAATTTATGCTGACATAAAAAGAAACTGTTGCATAAATTCTCAAGTTTTTGGTGCTTGGCAGTAAAAAGGGCCGCTAGTTGTAAACTTTTATGCTCTTTAAAATTAATCAGAAAAATACAATGATGTATACAAAACACAATCATCAGTATAGACTTGAATAAACTTCTGCGTTAAGTGGAAAAACTGCTTTAAAAATAATGATAATAATAATATAAGTGGTAAAACTGTTATCTTTTGTATGTCACTAATTTATTTTTTATACTAACAACCATTTGTCTGGTGTTAATATGCAGATGACCAAAGTGACAGGTGTTCAGGATGGGCAGTTTGTCAAGTATTTATACACCAAAATCTTGCTTGTTCAGTTAAATGTTTGGGTGATTTTATTGAGTTTATTTGATTAAGCAATAATAGTATCTACAAGAATCAAGTCTGTAGAACACTTTTCTGCATCTGTAAAAAAAAAAAAAAAAGATACAAAGATATATGAGTTTTGTTTTCAGAATAATATAAATATAGTAGTTTTAATCTTCATAAACCAGTTCCATCTGACAAAGATGAAAAAAATTTAAAAAACTATACATTAATATTTGATTAACAATCTATTATTGAATTTTCACCAATTTTTTTCTTGATGGTCATGTATCATCTTTTTTCAAATTTACCTGTGTGATTGATTACCACTTTCAAAAACTTCATTATATACTTTTTGTTTCATTTTCTACTTAAGCTTTCAGCTTTCTAAAATGTATTTCATTTTTCTGAAAGTTCAAACAGGAAAATGCAACTTCTGGTTATGTTTCTAAAATGATGTGAATAATGAAACAATAATAAAATTTGGTTCTTGTTTGTTGATCAAATATTAAATACACTAAGTATACATTTTTAATTTTCTTTATTTTTTGTTAGTTTTTAAAGTATCAGAATTCCATGAGTTAATTTAATGTTTTATATTGTCAGAATGCATGTTTTACACATTTGTTGACATCATTTTTTGTATGAAATTGTTATTTTAAGTATTATTATTTATTCTTTCTTTCTTTCAGCCTGTGTGATGGCAATGATGCAATAACTTATTTCAGCTACATGGTTTTTTTCCCATTTACAAATTAAACATGTTTTGTATTATGTTCATTCATATTCTGAAACATTTTTTGTATTTTGTTCTCTATTCAATTCTTAAATTTTCTTTAATGTTTTAATAAAAACTTTATGCTTAAGGTTCTATTCAATAAAATAATCACTGCAACAGCAAACATTCTAGAAAAATATTATTGCAATGCAGATAAATTAACTATAAATCACAAATCAGTTTTACCATTTTCTGTTTGTAACAAAATTTACATTGCCAAATTTTAGTCCAATTTGTTGTATATTCTAAATTATTTTTTCAATAGTCTCATGCATAAACAAATAATTTGAAAACTAATATTTTAATAATATGAATTAATATTTACATTAATGATTTAACATCAGCTACTTACATTGCTTTATTCTTTTATTTCCTTTGCATTCTGTGTGAAATAAATGCACATTCAAAAGTATTTTTTTATCCAACTAATTGCAAAATGTGACAAGATTTGAAACTTCTCTTATCGAAATAGATTTTCCTTTTAACTAAAAATAAACTTATTATATTTATAAGTGCGAGCAAACTGTTGAAATTTTCTTAGCATGCATTTTGCATGTATTGGTTATGTACATATTTTAAGAAAATATTAATACTTTTAACTAAATGAAAAATGAATATTTTGATTGTCAAACAAGTCAAAAATATTGAAGGTTAGTAAATTATACTCCATGTGCAATGTTTTATTTTTATTTTTTACTAGTATTCTGTGAAATACATACAAATCTAATTGTTCTAGAGATGTTGTTTAAACAACAAAATGAAGAGTTTATAGTTCAAGTGTGTAAATCCAAGTAATTCAAGTGTATTAACTTCTCTTTAACATGCTCAACACAGGTTTGAATAATATGTTCTTGGTTATAGTTTTTCAGATCTTTATGAATGGAAAAGTATGGTTTTGATGGTCTTTTACAAAACCATGTTTTCCTTTATTTAAATGCATTTTTTTTTCCAGTGAATCCAGCAAAAAACTTCAAGGTCCAGCGAGACTTTGAACCTAAAGGACCTTTGGTATGCACTTGAATTCTTTTAATTTTATTATTAGTTTTAATTTTAAATGTTTTTTTTATTCATTTTCTTGATGTTTTTTTTTTATCAATTCACCCCAAACAAGACAATAATGCCACTAAGATGCAAGAGAAAAGAGGATGAAAAGACTTTAGAAGGAGCCAGAAACCCAATTTTCAATAGGAAACAAGGGATAAACATCTACTCCAGTTCAAAAACTCAGGGAGATGTGTGAACAGTAGGCTAATGTGTGTGTGTGTGTGTGTGTGTGTGTGTGCAAGGGTCATTTTCTAAAAAAAGATAGTTCTTAAACTATACATATTCCTTGTTAAGAAAATTAATGTTTCAAAATTTTTGTGATTCAACTTTCAGTTTATTAGCAGGCATTTATTAGGCAAGTCTTTTATTCTTCCTAATATAACTGTTAAACCTGTAATGCTCAAATATAAAAATATGTTAAGCTCAATAAAATAATGTGCTTCAGTTGAATCTATAATTAAACTTCTTGAGATAACCTTTTCAACTCTCTCAATTTATTTATAAATACTATAAATCAAATGTATATCCAATTTAATACTTATGAATAATATATATATATATATATATATATATATATCAGTGGCAGCTTTGGGGATCAGGCTTGTGAGTCAACATTCAAGTATATCTATTTCAAAGCAACAAAAATTTTTCATAGTGTATTGTTTTCATTCTTGACTTCAGCTGGATCCAAAATTAATTATTTTAACTCCATGCCTTAAAATATTCACTGAAATACACTTCATTGATATTGTTCATAATAAGGAAGAAAGAAAGAAAAAAACAAAAAAAGAAAGTAAGTAAAAAAAGAATGAAATAAAATTAACGTGGTGAGTCGGGCTGCATAGATCTGAGACCTTTCAGGCTGGAGATATACTTAATAGGTAATGCATTTTTTGCTTTAATTTTATAAATAATCTTTTAAAACTCTTTAATGACTTTTATACCCTGTTTTTCATAGAAAATATTTTTATTTCACCTTATTGTTTTCAAATGTCCATTTTAAATAATTTATTCTGTACAGTATAAGGTTTTTTAGTGGAATATATAAATTGAAAAAGGGCAAATTAAATTTAGTCCAACTTAAAGTCAGCGAAAATCAAAGAAAGTGGCAGCCTTGACTTATCAACTGAAGAGTTGGGGTGAGGAGTGTGACTGGGGTAATGTTGAAGAAATATATCAGTCACCAGTATTTTAGCTTCTAAGTTAAGCCAATAGTATATTTTGTTAAAGATGTAATGAGCCTGACAAATATTGTTGACCTAGAGTCACCACTGATATATATATATATAAGAGAGAGAGACATAGATGGATAAAAGTAATCATAAAATAACTGTATTAATATATTTGCAAACCTATAATTTTAGATTTTTAATGGCTCTATCATTGATTCAATATCATCAGATTCAAATATTACCAAAATCCAGAAAAATTTTGTTATTCAAGAAGTTATTCAGATTTGTTTTCTTAATTTTGTCATTACTTATCACACTGTTTAAAATAATCTTTTACTCCAAAACTAGTAAGAACTGTGGAAGACTTTAAAATATTTTTCTCTGAAGCATAACAAAAATTAGGATGAGGATATTAGTCTAACATGTGGAATCAGGACAATGACTCAACTAAAAATTTCTGGCAAGTTTTTTTATATAGTAGAAAATATGTCAGCTGGCTCTTAAGAATTAGTATTAAATGAAACTTATTCCAAAATTTCACACAGTATAAAACAAAACTTTATGATTTATTTTTTTTGCCTAGTAATTCCTTCATCTTTTTCATCGTTTTTTTTTTTTTTTTTTTTTCATTATAGCTATTCAGACCCTCAAGCATGCAGCCCTTAGTAAATATTGAAAGAATAAACTTTTGGAGAGAATCAAACTCATTTCTTTATCCCCAGGAAGCCTGTTTTTGCATGCCTATTGTTCAACCAGTTGAGCTATGAAAGCCAACAATTACAGCAGTTCAAATCTGACCATATAGCCATATTCCTCATTTTATCTTAATACTCAAAAATGTTTTCTTAATGTTTTTATCTTAACTTCAACTGGATTTTTATTTTAGGTTTTCATGTATGACTGTATATGTTAGTAGAGTTGACGTTTCAATGTGCAGGTCTTTTCTATGATCATTGGCTAAAGGAAAGTTTAGTGGTTACTTATATGATTTTTTAAATGCTGTTCTTTTATGTGCAATGTCACTTCAGGACTTGATCAATCATGGCTATACATAACTTCCTGTCTTTTGTTGCTCTAAGTAGCTTTTGACCCTTTGACCTAGTTTTGCCATTTATTCACTCAAACTCACTATGTAGTAACTCAAGGTTTCCTCCTGCTTCTCTCAATTCAATATATCCTGTGGGTATTAAATTTTTCAGGCCTTCTTTCTTCATTATGTGTTCCAATTTCAGCTGTCTGTTTCTGATTGCAGATATCAGTTTCCTTGTAGTTCTTATTTTTCCTGAAAACTTCCTTATTGCTCACATATTTTGTTCATCTTATTCTCAGTATTTGTTGGTAGAATCACATCACTGTCACTTCAAATTCCATCTTCATCTTTGAGGAGATTGCCCAGTTTTCACTGCTATAAAAGGGCTTAGATATTATATAGCTGTTCAGCACTTTGTTTTTTTTTTTTCTAATATTTTCCAATGTCTTAATAATTTATTTAGTTTCTGGAAGACATCTTTCACTATTTATTTACCTTTAAATTTCTGTCATATTTTCCATCATCTGTTATTAGAATACTAAGTTAAATCTCCATACTTGGTTCATTTTGACATTGCCAAAACATAATTCATACTTTGGGATGTCTCTTTTGATGACAACAATCCATTCTTTCCTCTTATAGTCCTTTATTAGTCTGCTATCTACACAGTGTCATCTGTGTATTTTATGTTGTTAAGATTATATCTGCTTATAATAAATTCTGGTAGGTTTTCTAGTTCTCTTCAAATCAACTTGTTGTAAAGGTTAAATAAACCCAGTGAGAAAAAACATCCTTGTCTTACTCCACTTTACCATATTTTTTTGTATTCAATGAATTCATTCTCTAACTGCATGCAGACTGATTATTTCCAGTAGAAATTACAGATTACTCAAATACCTTTTGTGTAAATCAAGCTTTTCTGATATTTCAAGTAGCTTTTCATGTCATACCTTATTAAATGCCTTTGTGTAATCTATGAATCATAAGTATATATTTTTCTTCATTTGTATTGGTCATTCTGAAAGCTATCTTGATCATAAAAATATAATTTCTTAAACATTGTTGAACAAAACCATATTGTTTTGCCCTATTTCCAATCTAATTATGCTATGAGCTTTCTTCATTAGAATCTTAATGTTAACTTTAGTTATGATTCATTAAACTGATTGTCAAATGGAGTTCACATTCATTTGCATCAAATTTCTTTGGCATTACTATGTAGATAGATCCATAAAAGTCTTCCAATATTTAGATACTATCATATATTTCATTTTTCATTTTGATAATCTTATTTAATCACAATCTTGATCTATACTCTTACTTTTTAGAAACATCCAGTTAAATTTTATTGTAAATGTTTTTTCATAATAAAATTGATATTTTGAGGTGTTAGCATCTTCTGCTGATGAAGTAGAATGTTTTGTTCAGAAATTCCCTTTTCAATTTTACTCTTGACTCATCTGGAGTATCTTTGCCTAACTTTCAATTTAGAACTGTGTTTCTACTATGTGATGTATATAACACCATTCACGGTTTTTGTTATCATCTCAAAACTGGATTCCCACAAAGCATGTGGACTTGATGCTATCCTTGCCATAGTCCCTAAGAAATGTGCTGCTGAACTGTCACCTGTTCTTTCTGAACTGTGCAATAAATGCCTTGTTGCTTCTTGCTTTCCTGTTTGGTGGAAATTGTTTTCTATAGTTCCAGTCTTTAAGAACTGTGGGGAAACATCTGATCCTTTTAGCTACTAGCCTATTAGCCTTCTACCTATTTTGGCAAAGCTTTTGACCAATTTGACTTTATCATTTCAATAAAGTCAAATTAGCAGCTGATCTAAAAAAAATAACCTACAATCTGTTGTTAAATGGGGCAAGAAGTAGCTTGTTAATTTCAACTTCTCAAACACATAACTACTCTCTTTTAAACATCTGAGAGAACCGTTTTTAACTTCCATCAGCATGGCTGATGCTAACCCCCCAGAAGAGTGACTCATTGTACCTTCTTGGATTAATGTTTTCAGCTGACATCAAGTGGAAAGAGTATATTGAATCAGTTGCTAAGTTTGCAGCTAAGAAAGTTTGTTCACTGTATTGTACTAGACAATTATTCTGACCAGAATCTATCTTACATATTTATAAGTCTACCATTCATCCTTGCTTTGAATATTGCTGACACATCTGGTCTGGTGCTCCTGCTTTATATTTAGAGGTTCTTGATAAAATCCAAAGAATCTGCAATGTTATTGGTCTTGACCTGGCATCTCTTTCCAATTGCTGTAATGTAGCTTCCCTAAGCCTTTTCTATAAATACCTTCATAGTTATTGTTCTGATAAACTTTCCCTTATGATAACTTTATGAATTTAAGTGCAGTATGAGATTGGTGGTTAGGTCTCATCAATTTACAGTTGAATTGGTAAGATGTAACAATAAGTTCGATGCTAACAGTTTCTTCTATTGCACTTCCTGCTTGTGGAACTCTCTTCTGGTCAATCATTATCTTCTGTCTTCTTAATTCTCATTCTTTTATTGTTCTCTCTCTTAATAATCGCTTTTCTCATATTCAATAACCTCTGGTGACCTAGTGGTTTTATTGTCTTGCTAGGGGTGAAATAATTTTAAAAAAGTACTAGAGGCTCTAATCAATTTGGAATTGGTTAAACATCTCATCTTACAAGATCTTTTTTCAGACAAAGCAGTTATTGCTGAAAGAGTCTATCAAGCTTTAGAAAAGAATAGTCAAGCTTGGACTGTTGCTTTGG